ATATATATATATGATATATCTCGATGATTATCTTACACCTCTGCAACGTATAATTACTTTCGACACACATACGATTGAAATATTTATAAGAAATCGGCGTTTCTTATCTTTCACAAACTTTCGAAAACGTAAGATAACTATTTTGTAGCTTTTAACTGATCGACAGATCGCGAAGTGAAAGTTATTTGTTTTCTATTCTATGCAAAGATGTATACAATTTCATCGATAAATAATTAGAAAAGCAATATAAGCAATATAAATCCTTTCTTTAGAATATATAATTCTAAAACGAAGAGTAAATAGTAGAATTATAAAAGTGAAAGGGATATTTCTGACTAATAGTTAGTCGTCCTATTTATAATTCGACTCGCATCGAACACTGTGCATTCTTGTGAAGAATGGACAATAGCGAACGCACGATCATCTAACCATTTCTTGTGCATACTATCGATTCACGAAGACAGTTTTAAATCGGTTCATTGTCTCGAGAAAACTTGCCCGTACATCTGACGATGATAAGGGAGTTAATTGTCCGCGGAAGAAGTCAGTTACCCTCCATCCATGCATTCGAAAGTGTAATGATTATTGGAAGGAATAAGGATCGAGATAAATATTCATTTTTTCTTGTATTGTTACCATTCTTTGCCTGAATTATCCCCTAAATTATTTCTCTGAAACTCTACGTTGCCTTCGAATACACCACGAAGATATAATTTTAAAACTCGCTCGGTTTTATCTTATTTTTTTCTTCTTCGATGCCTGGCGTAAACATTTCGCAAAACGGTTGAACGAAAAGATACAATGTTTGTATCTCGTAGAAACGTCAAGTATAAGTCGATTGAAACAATTATTGACGATCATATTCGTTCATATCATACTCATGTGAGTTTCACAGTGTGAAATTGATTATCCAAGCTTAAATTATCCAGTGTTCCATTATGTAGAAAAATGTTACTCGTTATCGGTTTGATTCTTTTTTCTGCTCGTGATTGAATAACGAATGCCTTGATCATCGGACGATGGTGAATGCCACTCGGGCTGCCATCATCGTATCGTTCAACGAGCAGTTCACGTGCTTCAATTGCTTCGAAGGATGATGAACGTGATTGTGGAACGACAGTTTGATGAAACGAATCAGATTAGTCTGTTTTATTCTATGGACGATCGTGGGAAAGAAATCCCGGGTGGAATTAGAGGGTTGCAGGTGGAACGAGAAGATCAAACGATGGAATCGAAAAGGTATTAGATCAATTGTGCAAATGAAGTTTCATTAGTCTTAGAGCTCGATTCTCAAATTGAAATACGATTGTGCATGATAAAGGTAATTATCTATTTTAAAATTTTATTACTTATATCAATAATATAATATATTTAGAATTTTAAAATTTCAAGAGGGAATAAAATTTTCTATGAGCAGCTAGTTCGGTAATATTTCATCTTATCGAAATAAGAGAGATTTTATAACAACAAAAATTCAATACACAGAGAATTTGCTAATTTTTAACTGCTTAAAAAAGCTTGAAAAAAGAAAAATTTGAAAGTGTCATTTTTGTCTTCGCATACGATTCACGATTTTAACATTTGAAGAAAAAAAAGATAGTGCGTCGAATGATTGATTATCGACAAATTATGATATATACACATAATACGTTTTCGTTGTAAAAGCAAAAATTGTTTTAACTTTTAACTTAAAAGATTAATTTTAAAAACATCGAATTCGAATTATCTAAATACGTGGAAAATAATTTGAGTTGAGGTTATATTTTCAATATTTCGACTTGTAGTAATTTTCGAGTCGAAAATAAATAAATAAAAATAAAAATCTCATAGAGGTTTCTTTTACAAATTTTGTTTGCTTATATATCACGTGTCTTCGACGTAAAAGTTCCTTGACTTTTATTCCTCCTCGTTTAATTTGAGAATAAATACGATCGTATCGTTCCACGTTTTATTAACCTGTTGCTAAAGAATCTTTAATAGCGGCTTATACAACTTATCTGTGTATATATTTCTATAAGCAGGTCTTATGTTGCGTTTCACGGGGTCAATGATAAATATTTCAAACGTATACGTACAACATGTCCGTTTGAAAAAACCGACTTCTTGGTTTCTTGGGCTTCGATATTCGATAAAAGACGGTCATTCGTGAGGAATGCGGGTTTCCCCGGTCTCGTGCCCACGGTAAAAGTTGCCTTGTACAGTACAGGTTTCAATTTCGAGAATGTTCGTATCGATTCAAAATCGACCAGCGACATGGAAAAAAAGGGGTGGAAATGGAAAGCCTTGGGAACAATTGACTTGAACCGTTTTGTTCGGCTTTTCGCGAAGAATTACTTGACCTTTCGGCATAAACGTCAACGCTCTTCCGGAGGCATTGTACGTAGATTTTTTTAATACAATTGACCTAATAAATATTCTTATTATTGCCATAAATTATATAGTTCTCGATAGTCACAAATAATATTGATTGTTGAAGCCAATAGTTGGTGTTAACTTTCTCAATTGATTCTTTGATTTTTTAGATTGTTAATATTATATTCTGTTCACGAATGTAGTGAAATATTTTAATTAAATAAGGTATATTTTTAATATTAGCATTTAAATACTATACACATATTATATACATTCATGGAATGATATTCTTTAATATAGAATCACGTGTGAAAATATTACCTTTCTATATCTTACAACGAATAAAAAAGTATCGTGAATTTTTCCCCAAACATGAATTTTTTAACAAGAAGTAGAAAGTGGATTAAGTATATCGTATAAATTAAATAAATCGCAATTTCTTTTTCTGCTCTATAGATATTCTTAAGAAATCCTATATAAAAAAAATATGTATCCATGTTAATGTAAATTGACATATTTTTAAAGTTGCTCGGAAATGTAGTTATATATATATTAATTGAGAACGTTAAATCTTGTTACGTGTAATTTTAGGACCGACATTTGCACCGACTGCCATTAAAATATCTTCTTAAAAGCGTATATACCGCCTGGCCCACATTAGCCCAATTTAAAGCATGTAAAATACATATAAATGGACTAATAAAATTGTATTTATCCGGTGTAATGCTGAATGAACGGAACACGTTGGCCGACTTATTTCGATCTATTTTGTTCTTGCGATTTGCTAAACGCAATCATACGAATTCATCGCTTGACAAGCTTAACCTTAATTCGAACCGCATATCTTTTAGGGATCAACTTGGGAAGCCATCGGTGGACAATAATTTCTTTGTCGTCCATCATGATGCTCATCGTTAATTATAACCACGCGTCATTGTGTTATTCGCGTAGCCTGCCAATCGAGTTTGTTTCGGACTGATTAATTGGCGATTATAAATTGGAAATTAATTGTATTATGCATTTGCGCCTATCATTTCGTTTCTTTTCTTTTCGAAGTACTAACTTTTTAAGTTTGGGAGAAAAATTAAATTTTTTTTTTTTTTAAATATTAATATCCTAATGTTACAATCATTTGTAATAAATATATGTGGTACATATATTATAAATATATGTGGTATATATATTAGCATAGGAGAGAAAATTTTGGCAGTAGGTAACAAACAAACACAATTGTGTAATTGTTTGATCGACCGATGGTACAAAGAGACAAAAAGATATATTTCCGATTCCGAATATATTTTCTTTCGAACAATTGCTTTTTTTATATTATATCGATCGTTTCTAAATATTTCTGCGATTTTTTTTACTGATAATCATAAAAGATTATTTAGATCATGATATTGACATTCTTCAATATCATTTGAAAGTCACAAAATTATTCATATTCGTTCCTCCTCATTGAGATTGTTTTAATTCCGATCAAAGTAATTCGATAAAATTTAAAAGAAATTATTGTTATTATATTTGCATTGAAACGATTTGAAAATTAGAGATACTTATCTAATATTTATTTTGATTGGTTATAAAGATATAAATCTAACTAAAGGAAATTTGTTCGTTAAAAAGAATCGGTGGAATGATATTTTGCCAGATGAATAATATTCGCTTCTCTTTTTAGATTTTCTTTCCACGCACGAAGTCTTTGTGTTATTTTCCATACAAAAATAGTGCATGACTACAAATGTAATCGTAAATGCTAAACTACGTGCTAGGTTATGTTTTCTTTATTCAAAGCTATCGTAAAATGGTTGAATTTTTTCCCAAGTAATGTTTTAAAAATTCACAAGGCTGTGTTAACTGGTCGTTACATTATCGTTTTTCGAGCAATGGTATTAAATGAAGATAGCACAGTTATGATAAGATGAAATGTATATGAATATTCGACGACCAAACTTGACTAATATTTTTACATTTTCGCCGAACAGATAAACAGTTGGCTTCGTTGTATATTAACTGGAACTAAATTTAAATACTTACGCATGTGGTCAAGGAAATCGCGAAGAAAACGTACGTGAAAACGAATTTCTACCCGTTAACTTTCTAAAAAATAAATCTTCAGTTGATATCGAAAGTTGAGTAAAGAATTCTGCTTGGTAGATAAATTTCGTTCGAATCTCTTCACTTATTATTTTATATCTTCTTTAATCGATAAACGAAATCGAAAATCCGGGGAAAAATTTAATTTTCCGTGAGTATGCTTATCGAAAATAAATTAATCGATCCAATCAAAAATATCGGCTGTGAAATAGAAACTGGATTATTTCTATATATTTTAATATATTATTACATAATCTATATTATTTTGAATTATATTTATTTAAATTCAATGAAACTTATTAATACACTTTATTATATTTTTCTTTACGTTTCGAGATCTCCCTTTGTTGAAATCGAAACTGCATCGTGTATCAGTTTCCACGTACAATTTTACATGCGACAACAATTCTGTTCTTCTAAAATAAATTTGAAATATCTTTCGCTATTAGTAGTGAATCGAAGTGATTTATGCGAACACAAGAATAAAAAATAATAACTCTCGATATAGGATTCTCGAAGCAAGAATAGATCGAAGAGATCTTGATTGAAGAATCCTCGCTGGTGTTTTTTTTTAATCCTTCGATCGATAGGAACGATTCGAGCAAGAGAAAAAAAAATAAAAAATAAAAAATGATTTATACGTTTTGGATCAGAACCAGCGCTCATGGTCTTCACGTGAAAATCCATTGACGCATGCTTTTCGCATGTTTGGCCGAGAGGTTGGAATACACATTTCCACACTTAGTAACCAGTCTTTCCGTTTGCTTGTGGCCTTCGTGTAAACTAAGATGCCATTCGTGAAAGAGAACGCGATTGAAATTTGCAAGGATAAAAGGATATCGAGATTAATACCTCGGTAATTCGGTGTCAAGGCTGACCTCTTCGTAATTTAGTTCGATTTAAACGATAATGGCTTTTTATAGATCTCTGTGACGATCTTTATTATTTGAAAACTTGCTCATGGACCAAAATTGAATCGGATTTGGCTATCGTAGGCGGGGTAGATATGTTGGAAGTTCAATTTCGTTTTATCACGCTTTTATTATTATTGTGATTTATGTTTACAAGATTTATGCTTCGAATGTATAAATCATCTTACGATGCTTCTTTTTAGCTCCGACGCTGCTTGGAGAACTTATGATTTATTTCAAATAATTAATTCTACTAATTTTTTTGATTTTTTTATTTTTTATTATAAAATGTATCATACATTTATTTTTACCTCTAAAATATAAAAATTTTCTCTATTATCTTTTGTGTTTATATAAATTAAAAAATTTTTTATTTATATTTTCGCTACTATATATAGCGAAAAAAAAAATTAGATAGATTGAGGATCGAGATTCCAACCTCAAATAAATGATTTTGTACTCGATCAAAAGTGGAAGTTATCGCGAGAAATATATATATATATAAAGCAGTCGAGATGAATTTTAAAAGGTTTTCTTCTTTCAAGAAGGAAATTTGCATGCGGTAGCGCGAATGCCGATAGAGTAATTTTAGTTGGATCAAAAGGGTTATCGGTTTAAAACGGTGGAGTCGTAAAGGTCTCATTTTGCGTTTATCGAAGTTCATAGAAGTTAAGTTCTAAATTCCTGTGCAAACGATTATGTGAAAGTCAGGAATATTGTTTCTGAAACTTTTCCATTCTTTTCACTTTTTTCACGAGATATTATCATTAGAATTATTTTTAGTTTCAACTCGTGTCGATTTTACGATGATAATAAGAGAAATTTTGTAACAGATTTTTATCAATTCTTTAATCTCAAATTATCAGGACAAAGTAAATTGTTATATCTGTGAAAATCAGGGGAATCAGTTTTAATCAAATTCCTTGAGCTATTCTTCACAAAATGTTATTATTAAAATATTTTTAAAATTTGAAAAAAAGATATTGTTAATATAAAGTAAAATCAAACAATTAGAATTTACGAATACAATTTGTAAATACATAGTAAGATTCGTGAAGGAGGATTGATTTTATTTCTTATCGCATTAGACTATACATTAGACTAGACTATACAATAGATTGTATGATTTACTGTCATCATTGTTCCTCATAACATTCGCTGTTTTAATTATAAGTATATACTTATCTATAACTACAAGAATCTAATAAACTATAAATATAAAAGTTGTACGGTACACAATCATAGATAAAAGCACAATCATTTTGAATTTACGAAAAATTTTTTTTCTTGAAACATTTGAGTAATTGAGTAGAAAAAAAGAAATGAAAAAATATTTGAAATATTTGAGAGATACATTTGAGTGAAAAATTATATTTTTTTTTTTAAATTGATATTTTTCAGATTGAAAAATATAAGATTCGTATTTATTCGGAAAATTTTATTGCAAATCTTCAAGTTATGTTACAAGTACTTAGGACAATATACTTGTAGAAGTACTTATAAACTTGTTATGTTTAATTGTTTGTTTGTTTGTTATTCTTATGATCAATTTCAATGATTTTTTTTAATTTTTATGTAATAATAATAATCTTTTTTTTTAGAAATATCTTGAATAACTCGAAATCAAAGAAGAGATTTTTCCAAAATTTCATTATTTTATTATATGAAGAAAATGCGTAAGGTTTTTTAAACAATGTCATAAGATCTATGTTATCTGTTAATTTTTATCTGATCAAATTTTATGATGATTAATCACGTATGTAATTTACTCACATATTGTTACTCACTTATCTTAAAAAGTTAATATCAGATTAGTAAATCAGATAATCTTCAAAGAGTAATTTAATAAAAAAATTTAATAAAAAGATTAAAAGATTAAAAGCAATACTTCATATTTTAGAAATTCTAACAAATTTGCAGAAAATTACACAAATTTAATCGTTTAATCATTGTATATAATTTAATTCTGTACACCATAATTCTGCTTATAATTCCACATTTGATGTTAAATATTTCATTTATTATCTTCTCAAACAACATAAAACATCGTTTGTTTTTATGTCACTTGATCAACCAACCATCGAATTATCTACGCAGAACTTATCATTTTATTCAATACGTAAAACCAAAGATCCGCCTACAAGAAGTCCTCTTATCGGTCGGCGCCACCCACGATTGAGCTTTTCTTCTTTCCCATCATTTTATTCTTCGTCATGAATGGAAAGAATCTTTTGAATGTAAATAACAAAAGGGAAAAAGAGAAAAGAAAAAAGAAACCAATCAACAATTTTTGCAAACGTTAGCACGTTTCTAAAAATAAATCCGCAATTAATTGCAACTCGCGTTTTCAATTGTTTGCAATCTCTTGACGCGAAGTTAATTAAAATCATTATCAGATAACAGTACAAATAATTTCCGAATGAATTTATTGTGTCAGACGATTAAAGTTGGAAGCCATAAATTAGCGAAGCGTTAAAATCGATTACCGGAAATTAGTTAAATTATAAAGGGAATTTGATCCAACTTCTTCCTTTTTCTTTTTTTTATTTTTTTTACTTTATTGCAACACGGTTTTGTGTTCCGTCGATTACAAAATTATTTTCTTTATTTAAATATTTAATTTTTAATCCTTTCATTGTACACGTATTTCAAGCTTATCTTATGAGTTTTATTTTGATTTAAATTTTTTCGAGTCAACAAATAAATTAGTGTAAAATAAATAAAATAAAATATATAGATATTTCAAGATAGACTAATGATTATGTTAAATTACCATTCGAATAACGGTATAATAATTGTATTATGCATTAAAAAATACGGTGTAGAATGAAATAATAAATATTTTTCGTAAAATATAGCGAGCATTTGGAATACTTATAAGATCAAACAATCTTTCAACAACAATCTGTCACGTTATGATAATAATCGTTAACGTTTTCCTCCGTCATCGCGATCATGAGGCTATTATCAGCGGAATGTCTCTGCACTTTCCGCAAACTTCCTGCCCGGATATCTGGTCGGCCTCGCCCATTCCAGGATTTCAGGCTGGTCGCTTTTAAAGCGAGCCACGTCAACACGTATCCTTAACACGATAACCTTTTACTCCACCAATGCGATGATAACTAAAAGTAGAACGTTATACTGTATCGTTCAGCGGCAACGATCCGGTTTAAATGTGGCATCTTCGAATGTTTTATCGAGCGCCATGTATATGTATATATATGTACAATTCATATCTCAATTTTTGTTTTTTAAAGAGCAACCTACCTAGAGTTTTCCTTTAACGAAATGATTTTAAATCGTCGATAATATTGTTGGCTAGAAGAAGAAAATATTGCTGTGTGCCGTATAGCCGATGATTTGGAAACGTGCAAGAATTGTCTATAAATAATCTTGTTCATCTGCATTTAGATTGATACCTATCGTTCCTCCGTGGCGCCATTAAATTGTTCAACTGTTGAGCGGATTTCACCGCGTGAGATCGAGGCTGGTTAGAAAATCTCGAACGTAATATCGCTTCGAAGTTTCTTCGAAAGATAAAAACGTAATATTAATAACACGAGGAAAATAAGCGATATTTTAAACGCGCGAGTCTAATGTACGTATTGAATAAAAACAACAAGATGCATTGGTAATCGTGAAACGCGCAATCTTGAAACAAAACATATGCTTCGTTTGTTATTTATTCATGTATTTATAATTTGCGTAAAATTAAAAAGAAAAAAAAATGCAACATCTTATCTCAAACTGTTTAAGCGGCTTATAATTAAATATACGCGAAAAAAAAAAA